TGAGCCCAAGCTCTGCCCTTTATGCCTCACCCCCCGCACCACCGCTCTGCCGCTGTTCTACAGCCACTCACGGCCTCTCCCCCATGAGTGCGCTGCCAGCGTCGGTCCCTGAGTCACGCGAGTCCTCATGCTCGCATAGGGCCCAGCCTGAGCTCTGAGTTGCCAACCAACCCTGACACGCGCTGCAGATGAAGGTGACCTCGTGAGTGAGTTTTCATCCAGTGGCAGGCGTGCAGTAACCTGCGAGCACCCATCAGGTGGATCAACTTTGATGGAAGCATCTGGCGTTGAAGGAAGGAAAAGTTTAAAGGCTTGTTTTCCGTGACCAGTCCCTGCTGCAGGCCTCTCCCACGCAAACAAGCTCAGCCGCCAACGCAGCTCGGCCCTCGCAGCCCGTGGATATTCGAGCTTGTAGCACACGATACCAGAAAGGACAAGCAAAGGCAACAACCGGCTACTCACCGGGCACCAGCTGCCTGGCGCTGACGTCACGAAGTTGTTGCGACCGCCTCAGTTGTTGGTACGAAGAAGGCAGGTCGATTGATCAACAAGCGCACGAGCCTTTGCCCAGCCGCAGTTCCCTCCACCTGCCAACACTCGCACTCACAAAACGCTTGCTCCATGGTGCAGTCTTGCAAAACTGAGCACGCAGGCTTGAACACCTTCTTCTTCGACACTGTCCACTTCCCGCCGTTTAAATTCAGACTTGGGGTGAAACAGTCTTATGATAATGATTTGTAGAACTACAGGACTCCTTCTTGAAACGAGCACGGCAGTGAGAAATACGTGGACAAATCAGCTTCCGTCTGTAAGAGGCCAGTCAGAAGGATAGAGGGCTGACAAGGAAGCACCCAAAAAATCACGAATGTCACGTGAGCTCGGGTACACCCAGCCCTTGGCCTGCTTGCCTGTGGATGGTGCTTTTCCTCTCATAAGCAAGCCAAGCATGCCGTCTGGCATGTCCGCGCTTGGCACAGCAGTTCTTCCTCCCAGCTTGTCTTGCAGGCCCCGTACCACGTAGTTGCTCGCTGAATTTTGCTGGTAGATCCATGCTGCGTCAACAACCTCCGTCTTTGCGTAGTTTGGCGACAGCACTGCGATGTACGGGAATGCATCAGGTGATACGGTCCTCTGCTTCCACCACTTCACCATGTCGGGCAGCGTTTTGCACCAATCCTGTGGCACGTTTTTCAAGAAGACGCCTTTGACCTCATCAAGTTCTGGCAGATTCAAGAGCGGGTGGACATAGCCATACTTGGCCTGGACGCATCGGAGGCTGAGCGCGACCAGCACGATGGCCTCCCAGTCTAGGCCGCTCTCGACCTTTCCCGATAGCCTGGGGATCTCCTCGACCCAAGCGGCAATTCCTGACAATCCCAGGTGAGAGCACATTTTGCCCACATAGGCAAGGATCCACCGAATCTGTCCGCTGGCTGGGCTTTCGGTCAGGCTATCGAAGGCTCGTATTGGAGCTGAGTCTGCACCCCGCTCACCCGTGAAGAACTCTGAGAGAAAACATTTGGTCAAGGCTTCTGTTGGCTGTGCAGAGGCTATTGCCTGGAACCGTGACAACATGTTGAAGCTGTTGCACTGCGTCTTCACAGAGTACATTAGGGATGGAATTCGTCCATAGTACACGGCCTCGCAAGGAGTTAAAGCCTCACATTGTTCGTGCATGCCCCTGAGTTTCTGCATGTCATCCGACCTGGGCATCTCTACAATCTCTGCTGTACGACTGCTGCCTGAGCCCTCGCCAAGAAGGTGGGACAGGCCCAAGCTGGTTGGAACATGAGTGCTGAAAATCAGGCATCGGCCTGCAGGGTCGAGGAATTGCTCCCGCAGGAACGCGCCAACCGCTGCGTAGCCATCTGACTCGCTTGGCTTCAGCAAGACATTCAGCTCGTCTACAATGAGCACAACATCGTTCTTGTCCTTCAGGTACTCCTCCAAGACATGCGGCCTGCAGCGAATTCGCGCAGCCTCACGATGGTTCTTGGGCTTCTCTTTCATTAGCGCCATAGCGATGGCCCTCAGCATTGCTTCCAGGCAGCTTTCGTTCTCGAGCTGCCTGATAAGAGAGTCCCCGTTAAAGCTGATGAAAATGGGGTTCTTCGACTCACATTTCAGCTCGTCGAAGACGTGCAGCAGCACTGTGGTCTTGCCCCCGCGCATGCACCGGGAGAGCACCGTCGGGGGAACTCGCACAGTCGTAGCGTCTGTTTGCTGGTTCAAGTTCCTTGCGACAGCGTCGATGCAGGCTTTCACGCAAGGGGCAAGCTGCACGAAGTTGCTCGGTTTGACCTTGAACTGAGGCCGCGAACATTTGGCTATGTCGAAGTCTTCGGCAGTCACCTTCTCGGAATGAGTTGATCAAGCAGTTAGGGAAGACAAAATTGCGGGGTAGGCGAGAACAGGCAAGAACCTAGGCCCTCCAAAGCCAAGGCAAACGAAAGAACCTCCTTGGTGCCTCCGAACCCCAGCCCAACTCAAGAGCAAAGCAACGGACAGCGCATGACAGCACGCAAGGCCCCGGCCTCCTTGACCTCCTGCTTCGCCTCCTTGACCTCCTGCTTCGCCTCCTCGACCTTCTGCTCCGCCTTCTCGACCTCCTGCTTGGCCTTCTCGACCTCCTGCTTGGCCTTCTCGACCTTCTGCTCGGCCTCATTGACCTCCTGCTTCCACATACTTACCTGCTCCTTGTCGTTGCCTTCTATGGCTATTTGCCAGTGTCTCTCCGCGAACTTCACCGCTTCTCTCGCACTACCCACCTCCTTCTGCGCTCCTGCCAGCCTCTCCACCGCCAGCTCAACTAGCTTTTGGTTCGTGTCCTGCCAGGTCCAACAGCAGAACAAGATTCTCATGCACCACAGATCTCAGCATGCATTCACGACCGGCCTGATTTGAGGCTGCTCCAACCACTAGCCAGAAAACTGAACTGACACATCAAGCGCCAACACAGTCAAGCAAGTGAAGCGCGGCGCGAGCAAACCGAACCAACACAGAAGCCACCAGCAAACCAATTGCCTCTTGAGCCAACCGCACAACTGCATTCTGCGATCCAGCCGGGCAGGAAAGTCCCTGGGAGCTTCGACTTGCCTGCAGCAGCGCCAGCAACTGCGGCTGTTGCAGCAACTGGTGCTGTGCACATACTTGCCAGGGTTTTATTTGCGTGTGTTCGTTTTGGGCATGATTTTGTTGATTCGTTTTTGCGTGATGAGTCATGATTGGTTGGGTTGTGCGCATCACCGGCGCCATCTTCTGCAGGGACTAGGCGCGCTCTCGCTTACTGTGGCGTGAGTGGTGCCAAGCTTTGTGACCGAAAGCACTGCTTGGACCCGCACCGCGCCCACCTCGGCTCGCTTTTCGTTTTGGGCCGGCAATACACAGACAGACGCGTTGTAGCAGATTTACACACAGGAAGCAACACAGAAGCATCTACACGTAGTGAAGGGGGCCTGCCTTTAGAACACGTCACGGAGGACGTGTTGCCGCTAGCCTGTCCGCTGCCCGGAAGCCTGGCAAGCCCGTAGCAAGGCAGTGACTTGCAGTGCAGACGGCAGCGTTCTCGAGTGCCTTGCTCCCCCGCCCTTTCCGGGAAACCACCGGCCCTGTGCCAAGGTCCGGCGGGAGTTCGGTGGGGTCCGCGTGTGAGGCCGTGCGGTGTCAGCGGTGTAGGCTGACAGGGTGGCGGGGCTGCTATGGCAGTTCAGAGTAGGAGTGTTGCTTGTGTTGTGTGTCAAATCTAGAGTGCCTCGCAAGGTCTCTACTGCTCTACGACGTGGATCTTTGCCGAAGCCGGGTGTTCGGGCTTGAGGGGCCCCGAGGCAGGCAGTGTCTGTGCTCCACTGTGCCCAACCGACCATGTACATCTGCCCTGTGCTTCTGAGTGGACAGACGCCTCAGGCAGTTCCGCGACTGACCCCTTTGAGTGCTTCTTTCCCTGCTTCTCAAGAACCTTCACTCCCGGTTTTGGTGCCTTCACTCACGTTTTTGGTGCCTTCGCCCCGTGTGTTGGTGCCTTCACTCCCGTTTGTTGGTGCCTTCACCCTGTTTTTTTGGTGCCTTCGCATCGTTTTGATGCCTGGGGCGGCCATGGTTCAGCATCCAACAAGTCGTTGAGGCAGGTTGTGCAGTTGGCGGCTGGCTTGGCTCATGGTTGCCCTTTTTGGACGAGGCTTTCTGGTATCGTGCACAGCTTTGTGAACATGAGCGTGCCAGCATGCTGTTGGCAGGTGCGGGCTGTGGTCCACCCTCCAACAGTGGATGAGGCCGTTGTGCAGCTGTTGTTCTCGCGGGTTTGCATTGCAACTTGCCGGTGGAGCATACCTCCGTTGCCACTTTGCGGCGCAGCGCTTTGGTTCAAATTTCGGAGAGATTCGCAATGCCAATGAAGCGCCCCGCCGCTGCAAAGCTGGAGGACGGCGTCGATAGGAGTTTCCTGGACAGTTGCTGGAAGCCTGTTCTTCTGCAGGAGCCGGCGCCAAAAATTGCTAAAGAGGCACGGTCGGGTATGCTGTGCAGGATTTCAGATCGGATCCTAGCTGAGACGTTGGCCATCTCGACTTCCTTCTTGGCCGCTACCTTTTCGGCCCCTTTGGCTTTCTCCAAGTCCCCCAGTGCTCGTTTCCTTCTCCTGCAGTGCCAGTCGCAGCTGCTGCTTGGCATCTCTATGGCTCTATGGACAACCACTTCTGAGACTTTTGTTCTCACAACCTGCAACCTTTCCCGGTTCAAGGAAACAGCCGCGAGGCAGTACACATCTCTGTGGACCCCCTATTTTTTGGTTTCACTACAACACATTGAAGCGCTGGGCTGCCAGGGCGTCCTCCAGTCGAAATCAAACGGTTTAAGGCAACAACCCCTGCACATTCGGCTGTCTCGGCGCGGCAAAGTTCAGCTGGGCACTCAGGCCTCAGGTTTCAGCCAGCAATAGTAGTTCAAGGCCGACGTTCTGAAAGCCACCAGCTCGGCAAGCAGATGGAACAAGTTCATGTGGACGTTGAGCTCATGCTGGACTCATCTAGGACGCATGTGCTCCATGTTGACTGCATGTTCAACTCGTGGGACGTATGCGCTCATGACTCATGCAAGCCCATGATTTCTGCGCTCGTACATGCGCGACTGATGCGGACTCATTCATGCTGAAGTCACGTACAACTCATGCCGAACTCATGCATAGCTCACTGGGCTGATCATTTGGGGTTATGTGGGGCTCATGCTTGGGCAGCTCATGCTGGGCTCATCTGGGGCTGACGCTGCACACTGGGCTCCTGCTGGACTCATGCTG